TCGGATTTGAGAACTTTTGGTATGTATGAACTCGTGGGGAGATAAGGAACCCGCTGATGTGAAATTTTATGAGTTTTGAGAAGTGGGCCCAGGGCTCGGGTTTTGCTAATTTCAGGATTTTCAATATTTTTCGATTGTTTTCGCTTGGGCTTTGCTCCCTCAGCATATTGTGATGTATTCGTTCTGATTTTGGATAGATTCGACGCACGTGGAGGCCAATTTGAGGGGCAAAGGCGTCGCGAGCTAGAGATTTCGCCAGTTCGAGGTAAGTAATGATTGTAAATACTGTCCTGAGGGTTTGAAACCCTGGATTACACATCGTTGTGTTACTTTGAGGTGACTTACATGCTAGATGACGAGCGTGGGGTAGAGCACCGCTGGGTTAACTATTTGATGTTATTATACTTTAGGTTGTATGCCATGTTTGGGGCCTTGTGCCGACTTGTTGAGACCCTTAGGGGTATTTTTACTATCTTTCCTCACTCTATTTGTTGAAAGCATATCCTCAATCATGTTTTACCTGTTTACTGCTCAAATCTGGCTTTATCACTTTATTTCTTAAAAATATGAAAACTGTTTTGGGCTGAGTTCCCTGTTTTACTGATGGTCCGAGTGATCGTGAGATGATAACTGAGATAGACCGAAGGTCTGATTGTGAGATTGATGACTGAGATAGACTGAGAGTCTGATGGTGAGGTTAATGACTGAGAGAGGCCAAGGGCCTAGTTGTGAGGATTATATATCTATGGATCGGGCTGCACGCCGCAGCGATATGTTAGATCGGGCTGCACGCCTCAGCGATATAGCGCTTGGGCTGTAGGAGCCCCTCCGGAGTGTGCACACCCCAGTGAGTGCCATCGACGAGATATATGGATCGGGCTGCACGCCGCAACGATATATGGATCGGGCTGTGCGCCGCAGCGGTTACTAAATGGTACCTATTGAGTGTGAGTGCTAAGTGTGAGCGCTGATTAGTAAGAGTTGAGTCATGAGTGACTGAGAGGCTTGCCCGAGGGGCGATAGATATATACATGCATATGAGTGATGCTTTGCTTGAGGGGTCTGTTTATGAACTTATTGATTTTTCACTCCTCTTTAAAAATGAGTTTCTATTGAATATGTTGATTATTGACTGTTTTCACTCATCTTTATATTGAGCCTCTGTCGAAAGTGTTGAACAAATGTTTTACAACAACTTTCATTTAAGCTGGGGTTTATGAGATGTTCAGAATTTAATCACTGATTTGGCTTTGTTATTTCCACTAAGATTTTCATGTTATGAGGAGTTTATCATTCCTGTTTTTTTGTCTGAGGGGCTATTTACGAACTATGTTTTGCCCGAGGGGACGATTATGGTTTTCATCTCTTTTATTATAAATGGTATTGAACCCCTACTGAAACTGTCAGAAAGCATTTTCATCTGTTTAAATGATTTTTACCAAAAGGCTGGATTTTAAATAAGACGATCGACTCGTATTCTGAATTAGCAACTTGTGTGCTTATTGAGTTATCATGAATGTGGATTCATTATTTCCTCCTGCTCAGTCTTTATTTACTCTTATTACTTACTGGGTTGGAGTACTCACATTACTCCCTGCACCTCGTGTGCAGATTCAGGTATTTCAGAACCCGGTAGCGGGTATTGATTGCTCAGACGCGGAGTCATCAGAGTTAGCAAGGTGGCTGCACGACGTTCGCAGCACTGCTTCTTCATCTCATTTCCATTTTTGTACTTAGTACACTTGGCTGTTTTTGTTGTATTCAGACCTTGGTAGATGCTTATGACTAGTGACACCCTGATGTCGGGCTTGTGTAATTATTCCGCATTGTTCTTTTAAATGTTCATTATGAGATTAATGGTTAATAAATGGTATAAAAACCACTTTTAAATGGAAAATGGTTGATTTGGGAATTGTGTCGGCTGACCTTCTCTTCATGAGAGGCGCCATCACGACCGGGTCCGGTTTAGGGTCGTGACACATTTTGAAATGCTTTAGGATTAACTCCGGTGCCGCGCTTGGTTTGAATGGCAATTAGGTTTAGTTCTTTGAGTCCGATCCTTTCAACACTGGCGGTGCGCCCGGGATTTGATCCATTTGGACATTTATTTCCCTCATAAACTGTATGAGTTCGGTTTTAAAGGGATTATTCCTTTTATTGTTACTAGATCTGATCCTGTTCCCCTAGCCCTGTCGAAGCCGACCTCACCCCTCGGGGTGTTGTCATCAAACCTTTGTGTTATTTGGTTTGCGGGAGCTTCGGGAGGAACTGTACCTCTTCCATTCGCGTTGTTGAAAGCACCCGACAATGCTTGCCTCAACTCTGCCATGACCAGATCTTGCCGCGAGAGATGGACCATAATAGCCTTTTGTTGTTCCCTCAGGATTCTCGTTGTTTCCACGTTGTGCTTGTCTTCAACATCATCAGGAGTTGCCTCCTAAACGTGTCACAGATATTGCCTGCTATGGACCGACATGGCTTCATCCCCCTCATTGTGAGTATAGATGATCGAATCTTCATGTTGAGGATGATTTCCTTGGGCCTCAACGTTGTGCGTAACGTTGACATCGTTATATGCCATTTTGTTTTTACAATTTTTCACTAAGAAACAAAGAATTAAACAGGTTAGTAATAGACGCAAGGATCACCTCAATTACACAACTGTCTAAACCCACGGTGGGCGCCAAGCTATTTATTTGGAAAATGGTACAGTTGAATTTGTAACGTGGTTTATAGACAAGCGAATCGATTCGATCCTAAAATGATAAATAAATTAAATAAAATGCAAGACTTAGCGTTGAAATCGAGATAAGGTAGCATATAGCTTGGTCCTGGGAGCAGAGGTTCTGAGGGCACTAATACAAATTTCAATAGACAAGAAATAAAATATTATTAAGCTCTTGAATATTATATAACATAAGTTTGTCAGAAAATTTGTGTCACTTACAATGTTTGTTGAAGTCATTATTTATAGCTACACCTAGGGAACTAGGTCCTAGGATCAAGCCCCTCTTAAATGACAATTATGAGGGCCATTGATGAATGTATAATGACAAGCTATGAATGCAAAAATTCTCTATAACAGACTGTGTATTTATTATTGTAGAATATTCTTCATTGAATGCTATCGGGTGGCAGACATTCGTTTGTCTTTATTAATAATATTCCCTTCGGGGTCTTCCCGGTGCCAACCGAAGCTCTTGCCCCCGGTCTTGGTTTCCACTTGTCTCGCTTTCCGTCTATTTGCGATTCCATGTGTCGCTCTATTATACGAGTATTTAACACGAACCGATTTTACCCTATACATCTTGTTATCTTGTTGTTGTTGTTGTTGTTGCTACTGCTTGTTTTTTTTCATATTTCCTTGAGCTGAGGGTCTACTACAAATAACTTCTCTACCTTCTTAAGGTAGGGGGTAAGGTTTACATACAAGTTACCCTCCCCAGATTACGAAATTTTACTGGGCTTGTCGTTGTTGTTGTTGTATCTCATAAGTCACTTTTCTTGATCAAGACGTGTAGATGTTCTTCAGTGATTCTTTCTTTGTAGGAATTTGCTGGCGCACACATATTTCATTTTGCTACCCGGGGCGGGCCGATGAATTTTGTGTCCTAAAGCCAAACTTTATGAGGGGCCTTAACTTTTTAGTTTTCTTAATTATTTATTTGAAGTATAGTTTTTTAGCTTTTCTTAGATACAAAGTTATTAATAATTTTCTTATAATCAATAACTCCTAATAAGTATTACTCAATTGACAATATGACTAATCCATTTAACCTTTCTTGTGACATTGCTGTTCTTACGTAAGATTTTATCAATTTTAATTTTGAAAACTTCTTTCCGCTGAAGTAACGGTAACATGAGTTATGAACATTATTCAGGCATTTGGAAAAGAATTATATTATTTTTGATTAAGTGTATCAATTAAACTGTTATCTTCTAATTGTACTATTTTTTAAAAATATTTTTAATTCAAAAAATAAATCTAAACCATCAATATCGAATTGACTATTATGCTTTAAGGAGCATTCAAGATTAAGGTAATATTTTTTCAAACTTTCAACATCTAGTGATCTTAGTTTTTACTGACAAATAGAAAACCAAAGATATTTTCATATGCTTCGAATTGTTCAAATCTATTTTGAAGTGAAAAAATAGCCTTGTCTATTATGTATAAAAGTAATCAACTCTAAATGACTTTTCGAAAGATTTTGAGATTTCATTATCAACATTCGCATCAAATTATTACTTCCTATATATCACATGATTTTTACGAAATTCGAGTTCGATATTCATTTCAAGTGCAATTTCCTTGGTAGAATCATAGCAGTTGTCAATCCTTCTTCTCTATATTTGTTAAAGAAAGAAATTAAATTTTTTCATTTTACAAGACTCTTTTTTAAACTTATATATAGTTTATTAGGTGTAACAAAAAATAAGACATATACAAATATAGAGTATAAAGCGGTTGGAGGTCTGCCCTTGTTTGCTACTTGATTTATCCTTGTTGATTGTGTTGACTAAGATCTATGGACTAATGATCAGATTTTCTTGCTCACAACGAGGCGTCTTCAACATCATTGATTCATTTATCTACTGTTGTCCGTATTATAATTCTTTTGTATAACCTATCTCTATTTTCTTTTTCAAGTTATCGAATGACTAGTTTTTTTACGTGACTTCGAAGTTACAAATTCATGATTGACCTATTATTAAGTGTAACAGTTAAGTCCATCTTCAGTTACGCTGTAGATTACGAGGAAAGGGAAAACATATACAGCCGCATGAGCTGGTACTGTTATCTCCACTTAAAGCCATAAATTAAGAATTAATTCTAGCTTTTAATTTTTGGCTTATTTTTTGTCATTTTAACTTTAAAACAAGTGCTTAAAAATTATTTTTTTATTTTATCCAAATATTACAAAATGGCTTAAAATCACTTTTTAAAAAATATTTCGGTTCTGTCAGCATAGTTTTTCCATTTTTTTAGTTCTGCTAAATATTTGCATAAAATACAAATGCACTTTATGAATACTCCAATTGAGGTCAAATATATAGAAACCAAATGAAATAGGAGTAATAGCTAATTTAGTTATCATCCTCTCCAGCTACTCAAGAGTCATGGCCCTTTAAAATTTCCATTACATCATTTCCCACCAATAACTCCATCACTCAAAATTCCACTAGTAGTAAAGCTCTAGGAGTTTTTCTTTTTGAGTTGAATTTGCCAGTGTCACAAACAAAAAGCCATAAATCCAATCTTTCTCTGAATCCCGTGTCTTCAAATACATATATACTCGATCTATAAATGCATTATTGTTATGGCCTCTTCTGAATCTTCGTCCGCATATTCATATGCAGAGCCAAGCAACGAGAATTCGTTAAACAAGCGGCGGCGTTGTTTCTGCTTCCCATCTTTCAGTTCTACAAATCAATTAACAAGGCGTGTTAACTTGGACTGGTGGCATAAGATACGCAGCGGCGCGGTCAAGGAAGGCTCTGTATGGGCCAAAGGAATCAACGCTCTAAAGAAGCTTCGAGAATGGTCGGAGATCGTGGCCGGACCAAGATGGAAGACTTTCATCCGACGGTTCAATCGGAACAAAAGCGGGAGAAATGCGAAATTCCAATATGACCCTCTGAGTTACTCACTCAACTTCGATGAAGGGCCTGGGAATAACAAAGAGGAGGAAGAAGAGTATGTGCTGCGGAATTTCTCCACCAGATACGCTTCAGCTTCAATTTCGCCACCTGGTAAGGTATCCATGGATCTCGGCAAAGATGGGCCCAGTTTCGTTTGAGTGAGAAACTGGTA